ACATATAAAAGCCCGAAAGTGAAAGAAAAGTGGAAGCAGAAAGTTCGGGAAAAATGGAGCAAAAAACTGCAAAAAATCGCAGCAGGAGAAATTTTAAAAAGTAAAAAATGCATGAAAAGCAAAAAATAACGTATTAAAGCAAAGAAAAAGATTTGATATTGAAAAGTTTTTTGTAAAATGTAGTTCCATGGAGCAGGGTATTGGCAACGAAGGCAAGCTCACTGTTCTGAGCTCTGACCAGCGGCTCGGAAATATAACGAGAAAAACCATCGGCCTACAGTTTTCCTCAACGGCAAGCTGGCACTGAATTGCCTGACCCATCTCCAGCTTACTTTCCAAGGAATCCTTGAAAATGAGGATATCCTATTGGCATTCTTCAGTGCAAAGTTGACACAGGTAAAAATATTAAGCAGTAAACGAATATCTCACCTTCCTTTAACATCAAAATGAGACATGGTGCTGAACCAAAACTTGAGACTCCGCGCTGTTTTAAGTTATTGTAGGGGACAGGGAAAGTGGGGAAGAGCAGGGATGTGAACATCTGCCTCTTCTATTGGCGTTCAATGCTAAAAAATGAAAAATTGTAAAAAATAAGGCCAATAGTACAAAATTTAATCCGATGCTGTAAAATTTAATAACAGTAACACACTGATTTTAAATAAAATGGCAGTCAAATCAGGTCAGGCCTGCCACGTTACAAAAAATGCAAATTAATAGCCTCACCAACAGTAAATTCGGCGTAAGGTGCTAAAAAATGCCGTATCGAAGCAAAAAGGCGCAAAAGTAGGAAGACGTGAGTAGAAAGTAAGAGGTTCTTCCGGGCATACGGTGCAAGTTCCAGCAGTATTATCATACTGTACATGGGAGGGCGAAGTTGCAGAGCCGTTTAACTGCCTTACTAGTCAAACCTGATGGTGTTCCGGTTCGCTCCTCTGCTTCAGCGGTGTAAGCTCGGTTTTTTGCACTAGTTCTTCCTCTGCTTCAATTGTTGTCGGTTGCACTGCTGGCTGTGATGCATTTCCTTGAACAACTGGGGCTGCTGAAAATTTAAGCACGTCTTCCAGAGCTGGTGACTCCACTGCAGCCGGAATGTTTTCGCTGATCGGTACTGCTGGAACCGTAGACAACAACGATTCTTTAGTAGCCGCAGCAGTCTAAAAATTAGATTGATGATAGCGCGGAATCGATTTGTGCCAACTCATTTTCCTCAAATACGAGAAATTTAGCCAGGATTTCCTCGAAGTATAGGCATTTTTGGATATTTTAACAAGGAAGAAACTTTTTTTCCGAAATGGTCCACTGCTTAATACTTAATTTTCTAATTAAAACTTAGTTCATCGTGTAGCACGTACAATGCTTTAGGATCATACAAAAAACATCACATAGAAATATAAAATGCAATTTTTTGAAGAAACGCAGTAATTTATACTTTTTAACATAGGAGAGGTTATTCGCCACGCTACTGCTGGGTGAAAGAAGCCAGAAGAGGCATTGATACCCGCTTTTTAACAAAACTTCCCAGCTAGTTTTATTGCATTCATCTTTATTTAAAAAAGGCACTTTTTTTAAAAATTTTGTGTCTCACTGACTAGATTCTGCATCTCCTGGTCCGATTTCCGCAAGTTTTTTCCTTCGAGGAAAAGGAAGGCGAAAAGTCGTGTATAAATATTTCTGCACCTTTTAAACTATCAAATGAGGGCTGTCGTTGTTCTTAGTCTCTTATTTATACGTACGGTACTGTTACGTGTACTTACTATGAAAATATTATGAACACTAAAAAAAAAATTAAAACAGTGCCTTAAATGCATCTCTGAATGTGCCCGTCAACCCCTCCTCTTCGAAAAAATCCTGGCCTTGCCAGTGTTTTTAATAGTTAGTGAACAACAGGTGTTATTCCACTAAACTGTATCATGCTAATAAAGATGTGAGCATAAAGGCTGTGCGAGCTTTTGGCGTTGATTGTCCTTGTTGCTGAAATGGAGCGGCATAGAGAGCGCAGCTGTGTCCTATCTCAGGCCATCGTTCCACGCGGTCACGTTCTAGCTATATTACGTATTTAGGATGAAAACTGCTTAGTGGTAATCAAACGAACGGCTCAGAGCTGCACACGTATGAAGCAAAAACACAGACAGGTTAATAAAAAAAAAAAAAAAGAATGAAGCATAATGCTACTAGTGGCCGAAAAGCAAAAAACAAGATTGAAAAATGCTAAAAAAGCAAGCTCGACAATCATGCTGAGCCGGAGATTTACCTTATGGACATTCCCATCAACCGACAACACGTCTGACACCAGTTCGGTGTGACCAGAGACAGCCGGCACAAAGTCAGTGCTTTGCAGTTTATGTGACACCAGTCCAGTGTCACTATTATAGGGCACATCGGGTACCACGGCAGTACCATACGATGCACCTGGTTCTGTTTCTGTACCATCCGGTACTTTTTGTGCCAACTCTTCGCTTACATCGGCATTCTCCTTTTCCAGACTATCGTGTAGCGATGATGTTTTACAGACAAAATCTGACACCGACTGCATTTCTTCGCTGCCTGAACGTACAAATTCCGGTTCCGCTGAATTATACGTATCAATCTCAAATTCGTTTTCGGACGGTATCGGATATAATAAGGGTGCCGCAATAGCAGTATCCTGTACAAGCATCGTTTCAACCAGAATTTCACCTGGGCCAGCTACACCAAATGCAGGCTTATTGGGTTCCTCGGATAATACAGCTGGTGGATCTTCAAACTTAACAGGAATTGGTGCGCAAGGACCAATGAATTTCAGCTGCTTTCGCAAGTTGTCTTCGGCACTCAACGAAACACTACGATGTTTTACATCGAAACCAGGCGGAAAATGCACCAGCGGTGCAGTAGTATCAAGGCTTTCACCAGGTTCATCCGGTATTAAATTACCAGCAGCACCACTCAAATCAAAACTCTGCGCCTTTTCGTCAAATCTTCCATGGTGAGGTATTGCTTCATCGTCATAATCCTCATTATCTGCCGTACTTTCCGGTTCGTTCTCGTTCCTGAATGCAAGTTGCGACAAATCCTGATGTACGGGCTCAGATTTTATTCCATACACCTCTTCATCGGCATGTTTTGATGCATGCATCATTAACAAATCACTCGATTCCTGATACTGTGGTACTGGTGGCGGCCATACCTGATTATCGAGACCGGATAATAAATCCTAAAAGATGAGGACCAGTGTTGAAACCTGCCCCTTTTAGAAATGCTTGATAAAATCCGACAGCGCAATTGAATTATCGCATCCTACCAATTTCCTTTTTTTCAGACTGCTACATAGTCCTCAAACTGTGGGCTAATCCTAAATTATTATCCTGTTCTGACTGCTGACTTGTTCAGTTTCACTACCTGCACCAAGTTTTTATCTAGGCCCAGAATGCTTCCCATGTTATCTTGATTGTAATTACTAACTTGGCGTTGATATTATCGAATCAATTCTAAAGCAGTATACTTCGCAAGGCAGACTGCGAGTGCTCGAGCGATCTACAGTGAGGAGCAATACTTACGCAACAGATAAATCGGGCGACAAGGTGGCAACTATACGCGAGTAGTCAAAAAGAGAAGGATTTGG